CCGCTGGACGCCTCGTCGCCCGAGGCGTCGCCGCCGTCGCCGCCGCCGCGCCGCCGCTGGACTTTGCCCTTTCCTTTGCCGCGCGCCGCGCGCTCGCGCTGGCGCTGGAGGTGTGCAAGCATGCGCCTGCACAGGGGGGCGCCAGCGCGCAGGGGCTTAACGACCAAAGGAGTGATGCTCCCAATGGAGCGCTCGCACACTCGCCCGCAGCCCTGCGCTCCCGTCCGCAGCCGAATCGCGGGCACACGCAAAATGCGGGTGCCGGGCATGCCACAGCTGCCGGCGCGAACCCCTTGGCATCGACGCGGCACCATGGCTGCGCACAATTCATCTGCCCACATCCCCCTTTGCCCCCGGCCTGCCTACAACCTTGCCGCCCCCACCACACACGCACACCCACCCACACACCCTCACACACACTTGAGCTTGTGCAGTGCCTGCCCAGGGTCTCACGAAGGCCGGGCTGATGGTGATGTCATCGGGGGCAGGGCCCAGGCAACACCCCCAAGCCCACCTGTGCCAGACCTCGAAGCGGAACGCCCACTCCCCAGTCCGCAGGTCGCGCATGGACACGTCCACCGGCTGCGCATCAAGCACCTTGACCTGGCGGGGAGGGGTGGGCACGGGCGGGCGTGGGCGTGGGACTGAAAGGGGGGGAGGTAGCGAGCTGCAGAGGCCCGGTGGGGTGCGGTGTGAGAAGTTACAAGGCGTCCCGCGGGGAGCTTCAGTGGGCCAGGGCAGGGCTAAAACGGGGCCCGGGCAGTGGACGCGAGGGGGCCTGCCGCCGCGGGGGGCCGAGAGCAACCAGAAGGCGGCGGCGGGCGGCGGCGCCTGCCGCTGTGAAGGACGCAGCTGTGGCTGTGGCTGTGTCTGTGGCTGTGTCTGTGGCTGTGGCTGTGTCTGTGGCTGTGGCTTTGGCTGTGGCGGCGCACCATATTGAGGTGGAAGCAGGGGGGCACCGACATCTGGAAATGGTTGTAGTCGAAGCTGCGCGCAGGGGGGACACGCAGCCATGGGCAGGAGTGGGTGGGGGCCGCGGCGCTGAGGGGACGCGGCTCACACGGTCAAGGGGGGGGGTGGTAGCTGGGCCTCCCTCCAGCTGCGAGGGCGCGCCCGCAGAGGCGGCCCATGTCAGGGCACGCCAGGCGAGCAGTGCAGCAGGTAGCAGCCATTGGAGGCCGTCGGCGCGACCCAACCCCTCAGTGGAGGGGAGGTGGGGTGCATGAAGGGAGGG